CTCCCTCTCACAACACTGCCACCATGGCTTCGAACATCGAGCAATCGCCTTTCTTCCAGGACCAGAGGTCAAAGGGCGAAATCGTGGTTAAGGGTATGACATAACCAATACAACAATGGCGCATGTTCGCTAACTCCGATAGACCCTCCCAAGTTTGATCTAGAATCATACATTGCCAACTACACCGGTACGTCTCATGTAATGTCTCTCCAGGTATCTGTATACTAATTCATCTTGTAGGGTACACACGAATCGACCGCCTGCACCACATCGGCGCGCACTCGCCATATCTCGCCGCCGACGCATACCGCCTTGCCATCGCCGAGGCAAAGAAGGGCAAGAATGTTGCTCTATACCAGAGTCTAGTAGAGGAATACAGTCGCATATCACCACAAGATGGTGCTTCCGTGGTCGACACGACATGGGTTGAGAGGCAGACGAGGATGGTGCGCGAGGAGCACGACCGGCTAGAGCATGAGTTGAAGTCATACAAGAACAATCTGATCAAGGAGAGCATACGAGTAAGTGGAGACATCGGGGAAATAGGTGCCAATATACTTACACTCTGCAGATGGGCAATGAAGACCTCGGTCACTTCTACTACGACACCGGCGACCTCAGCAGCGCACACAAGGCCTACATGAAGATGCGCGAACACTGCACCTCCCCCAAGCACCTCGCCGATATGACCCTCCGCCTCGTATACGTTAGCATCGCACAGAAGTCATGGACAACTGTACTAGCCAACCTGGCCAAGTCAGAAGCCACACAGCTCAAGGGCGATGAGAAGGCTAAGCTGGAGCCCATCATCTCTGCTTGCAGCGGTCTATGTCACATGGCTACCGGCAACTACCGCGAGGCTGCGACAGCTTTCCTCGGCACCTCAGCGGCATATTTGACTGCAGAGCCAGCAGCAAACATTACATGGCAGAAGGAGGTCATCTCAGGCAATGACATCGCTGTATATGGCGGTCTCTGCGCGCTTGCCTACATGGACCGTACGGACCTACAAAACAAGGTGCTAGCAAACAGCGAATTCCGCAACTTCCTTGAGCTCGAACCTCACATCCGCCGCGCCATCAACCTCTTCTGCAACTCAAAGTACAGCGCCTGTCTCGAAGTGCTCGAAGGCTACCGCAACGACTACCTCCTCGACCTCTACCTATCCAAGATGCTCAACACAATCTACAGCCGGATCAGGAGGAAGAGCATTGTGCAGTACTTCATACCTTTTAGCTGCGTCACGCTCGATGAGATGGCCTCCAAGTTCCCGCCAGCGCAAGGCCGGACCATTGACGAGGACTTGGAGGAGATGATCAACCAGCGTCTTCTCAATGCGCGGATAGATCTTGTCGACCGCCTGCTCATCTGCCCTCCGACCGACCCCCGCCATGACGTCCACGCCGACGCTCTCAAAATGGCCGAAGCATATGATCACACCTTGCGCCTTCGTTTAACGCGCCTCAACATGCAAGCAGCGGGTATGGAGATCTCGTCGCAGAAGATGAACGACAAGTCGTCTGGCATGGGCGGTGGCATCAGTGACACGTTCCGTGGTCTAGGTCAAAAGATTGGGTTCTAGTAGATCATTCATGACAAGGTTATTCCGGCCCATGTTACTGAAGGAAGATGGCGCAGCGGCTAGCATTTGCAAGGCGTTTTGGGAGCGGCATGGCGTACATACACAGGCTCTGGGAGAAAGGCCATTAAGCGGCATTCTGGCGTTGGAATCATGATGTAGCGCAGTTTGACAGCTGAACCAACACGTTTATCAAGACACGTAGTCACGATCCTACTTCTTCCGTATGTATTGTATGCAGTGAGTGATCATTCCTTCATTCATATTCGTATAACCTGGGTATCTGGTATGTGTATATATCCTTTCTCAACGCCAAACTTGCTAGATCATGATAAACTCGCTAAGGTAACTGCAATATTTGTCTCGTAAAATGATAATCAGCCACTTCTTAGATAACAATCAGGCTGCGCGGTGCTTATCTGTACACACCTGGCCCTCTTGCCGCGGCCCATTGGTCCTGCTGCTGTTGTTGTTGGTTTTGCTGTTGATTTTGTTGTTGTTGCTGCTGCTGCGGTGCTGCGTTTTGGTACCCATAGTATCCATTCGGCGCCCATGCAAAGTCGCCGCGCCCAAATCCATTGTTCGTATCGATGGCGGGTGCGGGGGGCTGTTGAGGTTGCGTCTGCGGTAGGTGTGCGTTCGTCTGTCCCGCTATGCTATTCTGCGCTACCATAGGCTGTGTGGCCATGGTATTGACCGGCAGCGTGTTCTGCGGCATGGTTCGGTGGAGTGTTCCGTACGGAGAGTGGTTGGAGTGATTGGCGGTAAAGTAGTTTGGGTGCGTCTGGAGCTGTGTAGTCTGCATTTGCTGCGCGGCTGCTGCTTGGAACTGTTGTTGCGGCGTGAGAGATTGTTGCGGGGGCCCAATCTGCTGAGGCTGTATCTGCTGAGGTTGTTGCGGCGCGTTCGGTAGGCGTTGTTGAGGTGATTGACTACCCATTTTGTAGGCTAGTTGCTGCTGCGGGCTTCGTATGCCATGCGGGAGGCCCTGGTTGAGTTGCTGCAGTTGTTGGCGGTGGTTCGGGATCGACTGTTGACGCTGCAGCTGCTGAGAAGCATGAGGCAAGGCCTGCGCTTGAGCGACATGTGGCCGATGGCGGGACTGTGGTGGGACCGGCATTTGCTGTGGCTGTTGCTGCATATGTACTTGTTGTGGTTGTGGTGCGGGCTGCGAATGCGGTTGCGGCTGGTGCTGGTGCTGGTGCTGGGCTTTGGATTGCTGCGATCGAGGCCGCGGTCCCATCTGCGGCGTCTGAACAGGAGTAGTCGACGCTCGCTTCTCCGACTCAAACTCTCGTATCTTGGCCTTTGCTTCCTCAAGCTGTTTCTTCAGCATCTCGAGCTCGGACATGGCATTGTTCGTAGATTGACGTGCGGGTTCGGGGGTATTGGTGGGTGGGCGCTGGTCCTCGCCGTTGGCCGGCTCCGAGTAGAAACACACCCGTTTCTTGTCGTTACAGGTCGAACAGGCAGGTCTTATGCCATCGCACTGCGTATGTCAGCTCCCGTTACTTGAACATGTCGTGGGCGATGTCTTACCTTGGTCTTCTTTGCCTTGCAGACGTCGCAACTATTCCTTGGACGTTTCCGCTGGGGTGCTGCTATGGCTTGCGTTTCAACGTGTAGTGTAGGGCGTGGTCCGGGGTGGGGTCTTTGCGGAGGGGGACGCTGAGGCGGAGGCGGAGGTGGCGGAGGAGGTGGTGGAGTTTCGATAATTGTGTGCTGTGACTCTGCAGGTGGCTGGATCAGCTCCAACAAGGAACGCAGACTCTGTTGCCTCAAATCGCTCTCGATTGTGTTGAAGGGCCTCGGGGGCTCTGGTGGAGGGTCGGACCGCTTCTTCTTCAGCACCCTGGGTGTGTCGGGGTCTTCGCTGCTCAGCTGCCTCGAGCGGCTTGCGAGCCTGGCCAGCGCCTCTGGGTCGTTCTCCTCAAGATACTTGCGGCGCTTCGAGTCCTTTCGTGGCGGCGGGGCGCGCTCTTCGTATGTCTTGTGTATGGGCACGTGCTTGTAGAAGACGTCGAGCGTCTGTTTGGTGGCCGAGAACTTGATGGACAAGACGCCTTTGCAGTCGTAGACGGGCTTCGTGGCGCGCTTTCCCTGCTTGGTGCCCTTGCCGTTGGCAGCGCGGTCCTTGTTGAGCAGCGAGTCGTTGCAGTAGTAGGAGAAGCGGTAGCTGTCGTCCTCCCTGCTGATCCAGCAGTTGTGGAAGCTGTAGCGGTATCCGTCGATCCTCTGTATCATGTCCACGCAGCACTTGGCAACCGCCCGCTGCTTGCGCATCCTCACCTTGGAGTCCTCCGGCGTCGGCTGCAGCGCCTCTCTGACGCTCAATGCGACTTTCTGCTCCGCCGTCTTGGACGCACCATTGTTGGGCTCAATAGACTCGGCATAGCTGTGCCCCAGCGCGGCAGTGGGGTCCGCGAGAGAGTGGTACTGCGCAGGGAAATGCGCAGACTGGTAGCCGGGTGGTGCATGGTTGTATTGATGGGCGAGGTGGGGTGGTGGGTGTTGTTGTTGCAGCGGCGGCGGCTGAGTTGCCTGCTGAGGCTGCTGGGACGGCGTCTGCTTAGTCGCCAGCGGGACTGCGAAAGACGTGTCGATATCGAAGGCGAATTGGGCCTCGGTGTGCTCAGGCTCCTTGGGGGGACTCCTCAGGTATTCGCGCAACGACGTCTCGAATTGGTCGAGCGAGCGCACAGGGCCAAAGGACACGATCTTGGCCTGCGAGTCCTTTGGCTGCCGCCCTCGTTGGAGCTGCACCGGGGCCTGAGGCCACAGCGCCTGGTCGTTGGCATCGTGTGCACTCGTGGGTTGAGCATGGACGGCGGCCATGAGTGGAGCCACCCGGGGTAGTGAATAAGGAGCTTTTGAGATAGCCGTCTCCCGGTACCGTGCAAGCCTTGGCGAGAGCCCTAGACGCGATCATCAACATTCATGGCGAGACTGACGGATGCCGAAGACGTGCTAGAGGCGCGTAGGCATGGCGGGAAGTATCAGAGTTTAGATGGTAGTAGTCTAGCAGCTTCACCGCGTCTAGATACTCTACTACGCCATCAAAGCACGGGTGTAGGCATCGGAGCGTGCCTAGTCCGATGACGCATCATACAACCCGAACCTGCATGATTCTCTAGGTTGACATCGCGTCGCTTGCCATAGTGCAGATACCCTCCGTGAGAACGCGTCAGAGAACTACTCATGTTTGTTTCTTTTGTTCAACGTGTGGGTGAACATGTCAGGTATCTGCATACCTGCGCCATGTGGCGCTGTTCATTCCAAATCACAAGCATGTAGCTACATTTTAATATTGGGAAATTTGTGTAATGCTTTCTTCCTACTGACTTTGCAGTGCCTTCTATCCTGCTACGGTCCTCAGACATCGAAACTATGAGATCGATGCCCGCGAACCCTGAACCGCGCTTCAGACCCCAGCCCTCGCCAGCGTATAGTGATACCCAGAGAACTCGGTATCCTGCGATTTCACCTTGCACTCCGGAGCATGCAGGCCGTAGAAAGCGTCGTTGAGTTTGAAGATCCTGCCACAGTGCCCACAGCGTACGGCAAGATTCCAGAAAGCCCTGCAGACGTCCACGTGATCCCACAAGTCCTCTTTTATGTAAAATTGAAGGCAATAGCGGCACTCTGTGTGCCGATCGTCAGGGTTCTCTGCTGGGCGAGCTATTCCGATGTGATCGAACTTTGAGTCGAAACATGGGAGCTCCATCTCAAGGACTTCGTCGTTGCTATAGACTATTTTCGTTTCGACCTTGTACCAGGAATCGTACCAGTGTTTTCTCCTTTTTTTGCCGGGGATTTGGCACTTCTCGGACGATAGGGATGCTTTTGTAGTGGGCATAACTGGTTGTTTGCCATTGAGCGCCTTGCCAGTGGAAGCGTCAGCAGTGGACTTTACCTTACTGGCGAAAGACCGGCTAGGCTCATCGTTGTTGTGCTCTCCTCTTCGCCAGGGCTGTGCTTTTATCGCTATCTGCTTCTTTATCTGCTTCTCAAGCTGAGCGATCCTCTCGTGAGCGATACGGAGGGCTGCGTCGTCGTCGCGCTTCTGCTTTCGCATGCCCTCAATCTCTTCGTCCTTCTGCCGTATCTTCTGGAGGAAAACATCCAGGAGTACTTTTTGTTCGCTGTTGCCTCCCGCCATTGTTGTTTGGGTACTTGGTGTAGGAAAGGCGAATATTGGGGTATTACTAGGCAAAAGGTTCATACGGGGTAGAAACAGGGCAGGGGGAATGGTATTAGTATGGCTTCAATTCTGGTTCCAGGACCGTAGACTTCTAGAACTCTATAAAGCAAACCGCTTATTGCGAGAGTTTGTCGCGGAGCTGGGGTGGAGGGTAGTTCTTTCTACCGAGGTAGTGTCTGGCTAAGGCCAGCGTGAGCCAGACTGGTGTCGCCGCTGAGAGTTGAGAAATGGCAAATTGGAGCCTGTCTTTCAACGTCATAGATTGGTTCAACAGCAGAATGGTAGCTGCGACTCTTACTAGTATTGATACTATAGAGAGGGGCAAGCTAGTCTCGACTGGCTTGGAGTCTGTAAGAAAGCTGATAGAAAGAGCTGGCCGGAATGAGGACGTACTAAGATGTGTTGTTTGCCAGTGATAAATTCCAGTCGACAGACGTCAATCAAACAGAGGCTATTCTCCAGAACTCCGTGGCATAAGTCCAAGGCGGCCGCACTGGCCCGAGCTCCATGTCGAACAATTCTGCTTCCAGAGATCGTAACGGAGTCGAAAGGAGTTGCTATCAAGCCGGTACTCAATAAATGCAATATCCGTCTTCAGGCCTCTTCCTGCTTCCCCAAGAGGTTTCTGGCTTGAGAAAGTCTTCATCCTCCTCTTCCAAACCCCGCCCATCTACCAATCATCATCACTATCCTCCCCCGCAATATCGCCTCCCTTAATCCTGTCCACCACCCTCTTAACCCCCCTCTCCACACTCTCCCCCTCAATCGCACACCCCTCATGCCAAACAATCGCATCCATAACCCCATCCATAAACCACATCAGCGTCGGCACAAAGCTCACATCTAGCATATTGCCCAGATCAGGCAGTGAATACATGTCGAAGCAGTAAATGTCGACTACATCGTACTGTTCGTAGGATGTTGACGGGAGTAGCTTTTGCAGGGCCGTGGCTACCTCGTTAGTGGTTTCGTCTTCGGGCCAGTAGGCTAGCAGGACGGTTTTTCCAGCTGTGGCTTTGATGCAGGCGGCGTATTCGGCTAGGTTGGTGATTTGGGAGAAATGCGCCATTGTGGGGGATGTGTTGGGTTTGTGGTGAGTGGTTGGTTGGGGGGAAGGTTGTATGTAGATGGGGCTGAGCTAAGCATTTGTGATGTCGCTGGTGTCGCCCCTCATCCACGCGGGGATCCACGCTCTACCATGTACACGCCACACGATGATCGTTTGGTCGATCTCTAGCGCGACAAACCCTAAACCCAAACTGGGAGGATGGTGATATCCTTGTCGAATTGTCAGTGCTGCAGCTCGGTCGCGATGGCGATAGGTGAGGCTGTTTGACGCGTCCCCGTTCGCGACGAAGCGCGACTTCTCAGAAGAACGCGTTAGACGAGAGGAATAGTCTGTCGCTAAGTATCAGCTGTGATGCTAATGATCTATACAAGGTATGTCACATAGAACCCTTATTCTACACGCATATTCGCTGACAAGCTGTAGCCACAGAGACTTAGTCTATTCGCTCTCGCCAACGCCTTCCCCGATCTTCAGCCCTCTAATATCGACCATATTCCGCACGCGATAGTCTCAATACGAGCGGCCATTCCATGGAAAATCCCAGACATATCGCGTAGCAGCACAATCATCACGTCGAGCACGCCTGCGCCTACGACCCGAAGACCGCCGTGGTATGACATACGCAACGAAGCTGCTTTCAGCCAGTATGTAAAGGGCCATCGTCAGGAAGACGAGGGACATGCAGTATCTTTGGAACAAGACTCATGGTTTGAAGATCATGATGCCCTGGACCATGCGATGTCCAGCAATACCATCAAGGCAGTTGATGCGCGGCCATGCAGCTGCAGCACCGTCCGTGAGATGGTAGCACGCATGTATCTCGTGGATGGTGGAAAGGCATTCAAGCCAGAAGCCCGTGGAGATATGTTGAGTTCAGAAAGTACGTTGGACCTGACAATTTAAACAGGGAGGGGACACGCGATGAACAATGAAGTAAATATGCAACACTATCTCAGTCTTTTCGTCAACAGCCCGTCCTTCCTTCCCGTGGTCTAGTTCACTCAGCACCTGGGACCCTCGTTCTCGTGATAGTGCTGGTCACAGTGCTCGTCCTGACAACCGCGCTGGAAACTGTCCTTGTGACTGTCGTACTAGCTGGGCCCCTGGTAATGAAGCACGAGCATGCAGAGGATATCTCGCCGCTGCCGAGGCCAAGCGAGATGTGGATGCCCCCTGGCAAACCAAGCGAGATGTCCAGTTGACGCTTGCGTACCGGTAGCTCTGCGGGGCATGCGGCATCGTAGAATGTGTACGGGCTCATGGGATTGTAGTTGGTGTTGTCGATACTACGAATACAGTCAGCAAGAGGTTGGGACTACGCAAAGGAGCTGGACTCACGCAGTAACGTCGAAAAGCATGCAGTTGGCTTCACCGTAGCCAAAACTCAGGCACTTGCTATCGGCCTTGCAGAGCGCGCTACAGGCTTGGAACGTGTTCTTCGTACCGCTGGACTCGAAGTAGTAGGCTGGCGTGGTCTTGACGTATGCTACAATGCCGCAGCTTGGTGTGCCTGTGGGCGTGCTGTGGAGATGTTAGCTATTTGCAGTGTGCGAAATTCTGTGCTATAGGGACGTACGGAGATGGGCTCGAGACGAGAGTTGAGGATACAATCGTGGAAGAAGGCTGTATAGGAGTGGGCGAAGAGGATGGCTTCGGTGTTGAAGATGAAGACGGCTTGGGCGTCGAAGACGAAGACGGTATTGGGGTCGATGACGATGTAGGCCTCGGCGTAGACGATGGCGTTGGCTTTGGGGTGGCGCTGGGCGTCGGTGTAGAAGTAGGTGTCGGCCGGACGGTTACCGTGGTCTTCCGGGTAGTAGTAGTGGTGGTGGTGTAGCCACTGGTTATGGTAGAAGTTGCGGTTCCTGAGCGGAGGATGTTGCTACAGAAGAGTGCCGCTTCAGACGTATGCCCATAGAACGCATCTAATCCACAATCTTCCACTAATGACGGTGTTAGAAAGATTCGTCGACGTGTGAAACGAGTCCATACCATCAGGATATCCGAACTGCCTCTTTATGCGACTAGATGCTTCTACACTTGCAATGAGCGCTACCGCCAAACCTATGGAAAACTTCATAATGTCGTTTCTGGCCTTGGCTAAAAGTTGACTATGGGGGGATGAGTTGGTACCGGGATTGATGCTGAACGTCCATGTCTTATAGACAATATCTATGCCTGCGACCGCAACATTTCCACACTAACGAAGCGGCTGAGCTGAGTATTGCATCTCGCATTTCATTTGGATAGATGAACGACAGACCCCTTGCCTGCCTCGGTGTTCTGGCTCGGTCAGGATGGGCTAGAACGCATACATTCCTGCTACCGCCGTAAATGAACACGAGAACGTGACCGTCTCCCGCCGGCAAATTTTGATCGACTGATGTTTACCGAGCAGAAGTTTGCACTTCTTCCTGCAGCCAGGCAGGTGGCTTTCCCGATGCTACGGTCCGAGAGTGAATTGACCAATCAGCAATCTGCTCGAAATTGAAGGCGAAATATCGAAAAGTATGGGGAATTAGGCTTAAAGTAAAAGTGCGGACAGGGCTGCCGTGGTTGGACCCTTTATCCCTACGCGTCCCGGCAAAATTGGACTGCGTTGAGCGAATATGTTAGTGCTGCTGCGCAAAAATAGCGACAATGTCCACTTGGTGCGGAATGTTGCATTAGACCTCTTCGCTAAGATGCATATAGATCTGATCTGACTTCCTGAATCCACGCTATTTGTACGGCTTTGTACTAGAAGATGCGGACCAGACACTTCGAATAACCTAAAGTCTATGCCTGATCAGGTACGGACCGAGGCGGACGCACCGACAGCGGTGCATAGGAAGGTTTAGGAAAGTTTGGTTTGAGTGTTCTCATGAACGGTCCAGGAAGCAACCAAATTATGCGAGGAAGAGAGCGAATGTGTGCGCTGTAGTCCGTAGCCCACATTAGTACAACGACGAAAGCTAGTGAAACGACAAGACAACGTAGACTTTTAGGTCATGTATTGATAATCGGCGTCTAATGCTTTCCTTGAACGGTGTGTAGAGATGAAGCGCGCTATCCACGGCGTACGACAAACCACAGCCGCCTTGTACTGTCGTCCAGATGGAATTTCTGATGGTCCCTACCCAGCGGCTTGAGCTTGGCATCCACGGTGAAGTTGATACCGAGATCATTGCCTATCTCTTTCCACATGTTCTGAAAGCTCTCCACATTATGTCGATACATCGTGCCTGTAGGACCTTCCTTCTCGAGGGGCTCGGTGGCTCCGACCTGTCGACCGAGTATCATCGAGCCTGGTTGCGGGCACAGTAACGCGACCACGGCTTTGGAGACTTGGACTTGTTTCTCGTATCCCCACAGATGGAAGAATGACCCTGCATACACAATATCCATCTGACCTTGGATATTCGTGAGCGCTGACTCAGGGTCGAAGATATCCGCTGTCAAGAAGCTCGCCTTGAGCTTTTCTCGATCCCGAAACAACTCATAGCCGAGGTCGATGAAGTCCGGCTGTAGGTCGCAACCGTATAGATTTTCAGTCGGTGCTCCATCGTTCGCAAGCGTCCGAATAGTCTGGCCAACGCAGCAAGCCATGTCTAGCAGCTTTTGACCTTTGCGTAGGCGTTCCACAATCTCTTTGCGCTCGTCCGGGAGCTCGGAAAAACTGGGATCGAGAAACCGAAACTGCCCAATGCAAGGATATGGATGAACCTTCCAGGCTTTCTCACGAAGTTGGACAACATGATCAAGTACGTCATCTGATGGGATTCCACTCCACGTTTCGAGAAGCCGCTGGGTCTCGGGAGGAATATGGTCGTGTGAGGGGTTTTGTTCGAACCAAACAGGCATCGTGGTCTGGGGCTCTTTGATATCGGTCATCCTGATATGCACCGTGCCAGCTTTCGTAAAATGCGATAGTGATGTCGGCACCTTTGCAGGCATGGCTGGTTTGCTGTACTTCCGTACTAGCGCCGCGCTAGTCGTTATTTCCGTGCCCGGGTCGACCCGTGAGCCATCGCACCTTCATCCCCTGATTCCATCCGGACTCACAGCCCGCTCTCCGCATGTACAACGCCGACCACCTTTGGTGAGACCGAAATAACTACCCAAATTACTCGTAATCATACCTTTCGTTTCGATACTGTTCAACAGGCGGCCGTTCGTGACGATTCTGGAGTCGCGTCCTGTCTGCAGTGCTGCGAGCCCTGGAGGTCACGAGATCCTTGGAACGTTTAACCATGTGGACTTAGCACCACTTGTTCTTCAGAACCGCCGTAAAAACATTTCATGATCTTGCTGAAATCTTTCTGCATCCAACGGCCTGGTCGGGTAACAATGAACGTTTGGCTTGCGACAGCAATAACCTCCCAACATCCCTGGCCGGGTCTGCTCATTCATGAACTTCGGCGAAAGAGACCGCTTATTCCAGTGCCGACCAAGTCCTCACAGTAAGCAGAGATTGCATCTGGCTTTTCTGTGCAACTGCACGGAAGACACAGGTTTGGCATGTCGCTCATGAACGACGCACAGGAGACGAAGTCCGCGACTATCATGCCAGAGGCACGATGTCTTGACCTTGCCAGCTTACTTATTTGTCAGGAACGACCGGCTTCTTGGGCATCATCAGTCAATACATAGGTGGAGCTGTGCTTCAAGTAGTCCAATAGCATTCCGTCATGTGTAGCACAAAGCGGCTAGCATGTTCATTGGAGTCGTATTCACCAGAGGCATACCGCAGCCGAGATGACATGTCTACTGTCGTCGAAGGCGTCATTGCTAGTGGGCCTGAAAACACTCCGCAGGTAACGTCTCAGGCTACATCCGAGCTGTACGTATCCACCAGTTTTCTTGCTACGTCGCCAACAGCCATGCTCAAATCGATCACCGACCCGTCGATAGTGACAACATTTGGCTTCATGACGATCATGCCAACCTTTTCATGAGTTCAAGGTTCACGAACCCACATTTCCGACACGATTTATGACGATCACGTACATACCAAGCCAACAGAAAGAACGCATAATGGGGCTATGGGTAGAACGGCTAACGTAAACGGTACTTCCCTTCCGACGTACTCTTATGACCTGGCAAGCTCGGCTTCCACTAGACCTCGTTATGTTGATGAATTGTGTGGGAGGGCAACGGAGCCTATATATAGTGCTGGACGAAAGACCGGTGAAGAATGCAGATCAGCCTCTATCTTTACCTTGAGCCCGCCATTCTCAACGCCTACGCAATGACCGAAAAGACCATAGACACCCTTGGACGTCACGACACCGAAAGCAGTACGGATACTGAATCGTGTAAGCTACAGGTGCGCGAGGGTGGGCGTGCGGCATGGCTCACGGTTTTCGGCTCCATACTGGTGTACTACGCCTCCTTTGGGGTTATGAACAGCTTTGGTTTCTTCCAGAACTACTATAGCAGCGACTATCTGAAAGAGACGCCACCATCGACTATCGCATTCATTGGAACGGTTCAGATGGCGCTCATGAACTTACTGGCTGCTCTTTCCGGCGCTCTTTGCGATCGATATGGTGTTACGGTTAGTACTCGTCCCCGTCACTTCTTGAAGAAGACTGACGCCATAGTCAGAACCTCTACCTTGGCTCAGGCGCTGGCACTGTGCTGGCCCTCATCATACTGTCGTTCATACACTCTGGACAGTTTTGGTTGGTTCTGATGACGCAAGGCTTGCTGATGGGCTTTACCATTGCTTTCGGTGTACAGCCAGCAGTCACGGTAGTTGGCCAGCACTTCAAAGAGCGACGTGCCTTGGCTATGGGGTTAGTATCTACAGGGTCGGCACTGGGCGGGATTGGCTTCCCGCTAATGTTCGATCAACTACTGCCGAGATTGGGCTTCCCAAACTCGCTACGTCTGGCTGCTGTCAAGATAGCGTATGTCACAGCCGCCGCATCAGTCCTCCATCAGCTAACTGTCTCAGTGTTTGCTACTTAGTTGCTTTACGTATCTCTACAAGCAAGCCCAGTGGCAAACCGGATCGCAAAGGGCTCGCCTCGCTTATCGACTTCAAAGGATTCCTCGACACACGCTATGCCGTACTATGCATCGGAACGTGGCTTGCTATACTAGGCCTTTGGATCCCGGCGTATTATCTTAAGCCATATGCTAACTCAGTCTACCCGGGTAACAAAGTTAGCGACTACTTCCTGTGCATGCTGAACGGCTCTAGCATTATCGGCGCGACTTTTGGAGGCTTCATAGGAGACCGACTTGGCAGGCTGAACCTGCTCTGGCCCATTACCCTTATCTCTGGCTGCCTTTGTCTCTTCCTATGGCTCCTTGGCAACTCCATGGCTACTCTCATTTTCTTCGTCTGCGTATACGGCTTCTTGACTAGCAATGTCACTGCCCTTCCGCCCTCGATAATCGGCCACATCACACCTGACGACAAGTTGGGAGCGCGCATTGGAGCCTTTTACAGCGTTATCGCTATTGCGAGTCTTGTTGGTACGCCTATTGGGGGCGCACTCATCACGGATCACGACACAAAGGATGGGTATCGATGGTTGATCGTATTTTCGGTAAGCTACTTTCTACCTATGAGCACATGACCCATGCAAGCACTGATCATCAACAGGGTTCCGCGCTCCTCATCGGATCAGCTTTCATGTTTTTCAGCCGGCTGTTACATGATAAGGCTCTGAACACGAAGTGGTAGGCTTGTAGCTGCCTCGCTCTCAGTCATAGCTCGAATGAATGACGTCTCGGCACAACCTCTCACAGCGACACTTAGGCGGCCAAAACTCATCGTAGATGACATCGCGAACCTCTTTAACAACCTCTTTCTTCTCAACGCCAGGAACAACAGTTTCTTCCAGCTCTATTCCCCCCATTTCTTCCTTGTATAGCTCTTCCAGCTCTTCAGTAGTAATCCTTAAACTCTTCTTAGCGACGTCGCGGAGCTTCAAGAATCGAACCTGCTCTTCCTCGTCCATGAACCCGTGAAACTTGACGACCTTGTACGGGGCCAAAACCTTAGCCGCGCTCTCGTAGATGAGTCGGTGCAGGGTACCGGGACAATTGAATGGTTCGCCATAAAAGATGCTGACTGGCTGCTGTCGGAAATCGTCTTCCAGATATCCAGTAGCATCTGGTAGCTTGAATATCAACTCATTCAAGTGTGGAATTGTCTCAAACACTTCGTAGTTGAGTTGACGTGGCTTTAGGTGCTGCGCGAAAGAACCAGCGGTCACTTTGAAGAAATATAGGCCGTCAATGAAGGAGAGTTGGAGGTATATCTTTCGGATACCGTGGTAGAAGGTTGCGTATCGGTTTAGGTGTGGGTAAAGCTTCGGAAAAGACTTGTACGTCTGCTCGAGCTCCCAGTTCTTGTCGTCGTTCGGAAGACTGTTCACTTCCGTCAATTGACGATGCTTGTCTAGTCTGCGAATGCTGCGCTTGAAGCTGAACAAGCTTTCGGCCACGATGCACAGGCCGTTGCTGAACTCCAAGTCGCTGCTTCCCGCGAAGCACAGGCGAAGACTGATCGCGCGAACTTGGTGTGACACGGTGAGTAGGGAAGCCCATTTGCCCAACTGGCCAACGATCTCAGGTGCGCCTTGCTTGACATGGCGGACGCGGCCTCTGGACTTCTTCTGAACGGGTAGTGGCGGAGAGCGATGCATGCAGAACATGATGATTCGCTCTTTGACCTCAGTGGGCAGTGAGGTCCAATTGAAGGTATCGCCGTTGGCATGCCACCACTGGTACATGATTTCGTCCGCCACTGGCCCATCAAGTGGAGGAAACTCAGCTTCGAAGAAACGCATAAGCGGTACGAACTTGTTCCTCGACCACACCTGTACCGCTCCCTTGATGACCTTTTCCTTTTCGCGTCCGCGCTTCGCGATCTTTGGGCGACAGACGGCGAAGATGGGGTCGGTACCGAGGTTGTAGAAGCCCACGCAAAGCTGGAAGTTGCCGTCGACGTCGGCGAATCGATCTGGGTTCGAGGAATGGGTGGCTTGGCATACGTCGACAGGTATGTTGTAGTGAGCGGCTGATTGGAGACGATACTTGTACGCAGCTTCGCGGATGTACTCGATGAAAGGATGTTGAACGGAGAGAGGGTCTTGCCATGCACTGGGCGAGAAGTTGATGCTGACACTCATTTTGATGTGGAAACTAGGCATCAGTGGTCGGAGGGCGAGTCGGTGTCGTAGAGGTCGGCCGCAATGTGTGAGGCGTGAGGTAGAAGGTAGAAGGTAGTAGGAGGAAGGTTGAAGGATGGCAGCTGCTCCGACTCTGAGATCTTATACCTAGCAGAGGCTCGGCGGTGTGGATACCGGCGGGGTAATTGTGAGAATAAGGATGGAGGTTGATTCAAAAGTGAGAGAAGTTCATGAGAACAACGCTAGGCGTCAGGCATCTACTCGCGCCGCACAATAGGTATGAAGTGAGAGGGAAAAGATTGCTATTGTCTCAATGAGCCAGTAAATATAAGTGGCCTGTTTCGAATATATATTGTGCTGAGACGAGTGCAAATAGTTCAATGGGCGCATGCGTTGCGTGGCTTTTACTTTTCTATTGTGTGTTGGTGTAAAGTAGCCACATAGGTACACGATTGCGGACTACAATAGCATTCAGGGCTCTTGTCCCGTTCTATCTCTCTTCAGTGCCAGCCGCTGTAAAAAACATATTCAAACCAGATTCATCCTTCATTTGATGACATATAATATCGCGATGAGGAAGTGCCAAATTGTGTGAAATCCTACTGTCCTCGGAGATCTATTACTAGCCTTCAATCTCTCTCGACGATTCCCCACAACAAATGTTCTTACTACAACGCTCACTACGCATCCCCATCGTCACCAGACGACCACTCCTACGATATGCTCGCTCACTCAAGACGGACCAAGCAGTCCTTCGGTTGTGCCTCTATCCAATGTTACACATCCAAAAGTGTATTGCGACGG